TGGCTCAGCAGGGTGGGGTTTCCGAGCCTGGGTCTGATCCCTACCCTCCACTGGACTCCTGGCCTGGGTAGGGGCCAGCTCCAGTGTCTCCCTGGGTGAATCAGGCTTCTCTGACCTCAGACCATCCCGGCCTGCTCTGCTCGCTGCCCAGGGTAAACATCCTCTTCGCTTTGGAAACTGGTGGGACGGGAAAGTCGAGGGGATGGCAAGGAGAGGGAGGGAGGAGAGGAGGGGACGTCCCAAAATCCACACCCCACTCCGCATCCATGGGGTGTTCATGGTTTCTGTCTAGATGAAGACGGTTCACAGGGACCTCAGAAACCCAACCTGGAAATGCTGCCAGAGGGTTGGAGCCAGGCAGGGCCAGGCTCCCCACTCCTGTTTATTCAAGAATCACCCGGAGGACTTTCTCCCAAGGAGACAAGATGTGAGAAGAGTTAAGGCCAGGAGCAATCCTGCCAGGGACAAACTGCATGTGACTCAGAGAAACTCATGGCCACTGTGCCCTCTGCCCATCCTGGCCAAGTGACCATGGAGTCTGAGAAGTGAATCAAGGAAAGGCCACACCCAAGTCCACTCTTCTCTACGGACCCCTGGGGAGAGGAAGGAAGGAAGGAAGGACAGACTGGCAAGTTTTCTGGGTTTGGGACATTGGAGACCTTCATGGGGCTGTCCTCTGGCCTAGCTAGGACCTGGATGTCACTGAGCCTCCGTTTCCTGCTCTGAAAAGTTGGAATAGCCACCAATGGGGCAGTGACAGATGGAGGTGACCACACCAGAATGTGCAGCTTTGTTCCCCTCCTGGGTACGCTAGAGCCCACATTAGCCACCAATTCTGTGTATGCAGGAAAAGAGCCCAGCTGTGTGTCACCATGCCCTGGGCATTTCTACGGGGACCAATGTTCCACTGCTTCCGGTTTGGGGCAAGTCTCCCTGTGACCCTGCTGGGGTGAAAGCCTGGCCTCCCCAGGGACCACCTTGGCCGCAGAGCTGGACAGCACGCCTTGGCCGCAGCACACCATTGGGTGGGTGCGGGGACCATGCCTGGGAGGCTCCGTGTCACCGGAGCACTTAGGATGTCACCGCTCACTCAGGAGCTTTCTCCAACAAGGAGCTCGGGGCTCTGCGCCCTGGCTCAGCAGTCACCTTCAGGTCGCTTGGAACAGCAGTCCCAGCCCTCTTGCTTCGGCCTGTTTTCAGATTCCAACCAAATCCCCTGGGATTTGCACAGTGGACCTGCACACCAGCCCACACAGGCCTTGCCCACCCTTGGGACCCCTGCCACCCAAAGCCCCTCTTCGGAGCTAGGGGAATGGGAGGGTGCACGTCCAGCAGGCCCCTACCTACACTTCCCCCAGCACTCCAGCCCTGGTGATCCATAATATTTTCCTTAAGGTTCCTAGACACAAATGAAAATGAAAATGCTCAGGGGAAAAAAAACTATTAATCAGTTCGAATCCTCTTTCTGCCTCCTGGGCTTCCCTGGCTTGAAACTGAATTTCAGATAATCAGGAAATCTTGAGCAGTGCAGACCCAATAGCTTCTTAATTCTCTCCTAGGAGCCCAGTCTTTTCATTAGATACGAATATAGCTACTGTACATCTCACTGTGAAGTATAAATTTCCCACCCAGATGGGGAGGAGTATAAATTTTCCTATGTACATTGGACCTGAGGGATAGCAGGTCATAAGGGACCTATTCAGGTCACATCCAAACACAACCACACCCAGACTGGCGAACTGGAGCTCTTGACAAATGTTTCATGTTTAAATGAGGGAAAACACAGTTGAAATATCCAAATAATTGAAAATGTTTATATTTTTCCTGGGACTTTCTTTGTGTTGGTGGGTGTGGTGGATATAATTGGGGAGGTCAATTCGCTGTTTCCTGGTTAAAAACCAACAATAACTGCCCCCACCTTGTTTCTGAGTTTTGGCTATGGAATGGGGAAGAAAAGGCCGCAAGTTGCTGTTAGACTATGGGAGCTCTGCCGTCCAGGGACTGCAGGGATTGACATGAGAGAGCTCAGGGTTGAAGTGTGGAGGGTTCAAGAAATGCAACGGTCGCTGAGTCACAGGCCCAAGACCAAGGCCTGGCTCTGTGTCCTTGAGGCCTGGCTCTGTGTCCTTGATGTCCCAGAGCCTCCGTTTTCCCCTCTGTGAGATGGGACACGATTGAGCTCACAGGGCTGCTGGGAAGAAGAAGCAAAGTACTACCACCTGTGGAAACGCTTTGTCATGATCAGCCTTTCTATGGCCTGGGCCAAATTAAATGGAGCCCACAGCAGGGAGGCTGAGGGTCTGGGCCCGGATGGTCTGACAGCCATGTGCTGACACAGGGCTCAGCAGGCTGCCCTCACCTCCACCCCATCTCAGGGGAAGGGAGCATTCGGTGCTTTGCAGCCAGGCCTGTCTCAGCTTCTGTTTGAGTTGGCCACGTTGTGATGGTCTCATGGGCTTTGCCAACAGGATTTTGGTGTTTGCTCTCCCGCCTGGCATGGCTGCAGAAGCAGCTGGCATTCTGCTCCTGATTATCAAGCCAGGCTGCTGTTGCTCCAGGCAAGAGAAATCTGAGTCCGTGCCACACCTGCCCTTTCTCAGGTGGATGCATCCCATTTTTACATTTCATTTTTGGTTTTTTTGTTTGTTTTGGTACCAGGGATCAAACTCTGGACCTTGTGAGGCAGGCGGCGGAACCACTGAGCTAAATCCCCGGCCCTCCCCAGTCCTTTTTGTTGGGGGGTAGGGGGGAATAGGGTCTAAGTCCCTAAATTGCCCAGGCTGGGCTCAAAACATGCAATCCTCCTGCCGTGGCCTCCCATTTTATTATCCTCATTGTCACAAGACTCCCAGACTTGCAAAAGGAGGGTGGCAAATGGATAGATAGCATCTTTAAAATGGTTGCTCAAAGATTAGGAGGAGCCAGGGATTTAGCTCAGTGGTTCCTACACCTGCCTCAAAAGTGGAAGAACCCGAGTTCGATCCCGGGTACCAAAAAAAAAAAAAGATTAGGAGGAATCAGGACATCAGCCAGGAAAAGAAATTAGCCAGAGAGCCAGAGAACCCAGTTACCGATGCTAGATCTTGCAAAGACTTCTTTCCTCTCCTCCTGATTGCTGGGGTCAGTAATAGATATTGGGGACATCCTCGGGAGCAGAGCTTTCACTGAAGGTCACCCCAAGCAAGTCAGAACCATGGTTTGGGCACAGGTGCATGATGGGAGGATCACGTGCTCCGCAGTGTCCCCCCCCCCCCGCAGCACACAGTGAGACTCACCGCGCCTGTTTGGCTTTCCCAGGCTACTGGCTAATAACTTGAGAGTCATGGCTGGAGAAAGCAAAATAATTGAGAGCAATGCTCAGTCAATTGCAGTTTCAAGGTTTTCATTGCCTTCCTAACCATTTGCAAAACACATTTTATGGCTTTTGTCGATTCCTTGAGTTGAAATACCTCCGCTGCTGTAATTAAGCTAAGTGACAAGCCAGCTGTAAAGACAAGGGTTGTGAATGATTACAGTAGGCTCACGTAATCATGGGGGGTGGGTCTGAGGAGCTTGCAACAGCTGCCAGTCCAGTCTGCCCGACTCACACCCCTGCAGGGTGGAAGAAAAGCTGGGCCCTGCAGCCACCCTGAGGCGCACAGCCTGTTTGCAGAACCCCCTGGGGGAGCTTTCCCCATTCATTCATTCAGGTGCTAGGGATTGAATTAAGGGCCCCCACTCAAGCTAAGCACCTGCTCAGCCACTGAGCTACACCCCCAGCTAGAGGGAACTTCAAGCCCAAGACACCCCCACCTTGAGTCATTCGATCCAGGAGGAACCACACGTCCTGTGAGCCACTAGATAGTTATGAGCCCAGGGACCAGGAGAATCTGCCCAGTCCAGGGTGGCTAGGTTTTTTTTGTTTTTTGGGTTTTTTTGTACCGCGGATCAAACTAGGGTCCTTGCGCTTGTGCGGCAGGTTGTGAAACCACTGAGCTAAATCCCTGGCCCAGGGTGGCTGTTTTTAACGACTTATTTTTCCAGGAACATCATGTTTGCACTTGGAAACTTTTCCATCAGGGTCACTCTTTTAAATCAGTCAGAGCTGGTGGTGGCACACGCCTGTGCTACACAGATTGCCTGTCTGTGAAGACGGCCCTGTCCTAAGAGCAAGGATGCCGGCACCACAATGTCGCTAGAAAGACAAAAAGAATTCTGGCTTTGTCTTAAGAGACTTAGTTCACTCTGAGCCTTCCAAACTGCAGGGCTGGGGAAGCCGAAGCAGGTGTGAATGGTGAAGGTTTTACTCCTCTGTCTCTGCTAACTGGGGCCTCCTGCCATCCCAGTGGGCCCTGACTTACTGAAAGGTAAGCGATCCCAGGAAGCCTTGCAAACCAGGCCTAGATGGGGCTGTCGATGTTGGTGCGTGTGTATCTCACAGCCAGGTGCCTGGACTGAATCTAACTTCTCTATTCAATACCTTGGATAATTAAGGTCTGCGGGGAGCTGTGGGGCTCGAGTGTCCCAGGCTCCCCTGACATCCTTTATTTTTGGAGACAGAGTCTTGCTCTGTAGCTCAGGCTGGTGTGACTCATGTCAATACTCCTGCCTCCGCCTCCCATGTGCTAGGATTACAGGTGCGCCACCGCACCTGACTTCCCCGGATTTCCTTGAGGCCAGAAATCCATTCTGTTAGAATTCACAAGGCTGAGCGAGTCCACATTGTGAAGAAGGTGCTCAGGTCGCTCCTCTCCCCCTCCCCAGGTTCCAGAAGGGACCTAACCAGTAGCAGGAAGTGAAGCGAAGATGTTATGCTGACGGCAATGGGGTGCTAGGAGGAGATGGAGGCACCACACGCCCAGAAGGACCATTGGGGCTCTAGGTTCTTAGCAGAGAGGGCAGAGCTTCCTGTAGACTGTTCAGCCCAAGAAATTCTACAGCCTCCAGATGGGGAAGGATAATCAGGAGAACCCTCTCCCCACCTTCCCTTCCCAGGCGCCCTCTGGTCAGGCTCCGTGTCCTGGCGTTGAGCACGGCAGTTTATTTTATTAACGTACACATGAGAGGAAGGAGTATCGTTTCTGCGGGTCACTGGAAGACACATCTGCAGGTTGGGTCCTTCTGTGACCCCTCTGCTTTTTCCAAGGACACTGAGGTGGGCCAGAGGGCGAGGCAGGAGGAAGATGTTTGGGTGCTGAGGACACAGGTCTTTGGGCAGAAAGAGGTCTGATCTGGAACTGATGAGCTCACAGCTGTCCCCAGAGTTATCCTTTGTGCTCAGCCCTGTCCCTGTCGCTAATCCTTAGAGATGAAGACCAGTGGGCACAGGCTGCCAGTGGGCTGAGGGCTCTGGGCTGTGCCCCCGGGTTGCTGTACCTGGGGGGTCATCTGGGATCAAGCAGCTGGTGGGCATCCTGGGGTGGCACTGATCACCTGGAAAAGGCTTGGTCCTCCAGCACCGTCCTCAAAGTGGGAGGCTGTTGGCTTCAGTGATGCTAATGAGAGGTAGCGATCAGACCGGGGGTTGTAGGCGAGCAAATGAAACTTTCAGTTGATTCTATAGACATTGCAGACACTGTGGGAAAAGATAAATCACTTCCTCGGAGTCAGAGGTAGGAAAGGAAAAAAAATATGGCAGAAATCCAATTTGATTCTGGAAAAAAAAAAGACTTTTCTTAATTTTTCTTTTAAAATAGCTGCTGGAATGTCAAAAAGCCAATGAACTCATCATTACCGTTCCCACTTAGGCACCAGGAAATACTTAGGTGATTTGTATCCACAGCCACCAGAAACTCATCTCACTACACAATATTCATCTCCTTGCAGTCTGACTGCCCCAAATGTTTATATGCATCATTTAAGAGCAGCAGAGACAGCTGGCTGGAGATATTATGGTGGGAGGTGTTAAGCCCTGGACAAGCTAACCTTTCTGAGCCTAGTAATGCCTTAGGACTGAGGGAATCACCATCACTTATCACTGAAGCTATCCACATTACCAAGGCTTAATCATCCTTCAACTCTTACAAAAGAAATAATTTAGCCCCCAGAATTCAACTGCTGCACAGATCTGCACCCCAGGCTCAGGGACTGATCCACTATAAAAGCACCCAGAGGAGACAGAATGAGATCAATTACAGTGACTTCAGCAGAAAAACGGAGGAATCACTCAGGGATCTGTCCCAGACATGGGTCAGGACAGGCTGAGTTCTTGGCAGACTAATAAAGAGCAAGAGACACTGGGGCTGTTTGTCCTGAGTCTGTCACCATTGTGAGGGAGGGAAAGTCACTTCATGCCCTCAAATCTTGATTTTCTTTTTTTTTTTTTTCTTTTTTTTTTTTTTTGGAAC